AAAAAAAAAAAAAAGAAATAGACCAGGCAGTGACTTATATGTTGCAGACTTTTAATGGAGCACCAAAAAATAAAGATGTACAGTGTGATGAAATTATAATGGAGAAAGGGCTGGCCAAGTAGCTCAGCGGATTAAAGCGCCTGCACGCAGGTGCAGGGCCTGGGGGTTCTCTCCCCAGGCCTGCCATGCTGACCCCGCCCCGGGGGTGCGCTGAGATAGTAATGGAGACTGGGCGTGGTGGCGCGCACCTGTAATCCCAGCTCTTGGGAGCCTGTAAAGAGGAGAATCACTACAAGCTCGATCTAGTAGTGAGACCCTGAACACCCTGTAGACCCTTCCCTAGAACAACAACAACAAAATTATAATGGAGAAAGGATGGCTATTACCCACAAATCAACCAATAACAAATGCTGGTGGGGCCGTGGAGAAAAAGGACCATATCTTTACCTTTGGTGGGAGTTTGGACTGGTGCAGTCTCTGTGGAAATCATTGTGGAGATTTCTCAGAAAAACTAGGACTGGAGGTACCATCAAACACAGCCATTCCCCTTCTTGGTATCTTCCCGAAAGAATGAAAAGAAGCACACCAGAGCAATGTCTGTGCACCTGTGTTTATAGCAGCGCAGTTTGTCGTGGCTGAATCTTAGGAACAACCCAAGTGGCCGTCAACTGATGAATGGGTAAAAACAGGATTTTTTTATACAATGGAGTACTATTCAGCCATAAAGAAGGATACACTTGAGACAATAGATAAATGGATGGCCCCGATGACCACACTCTTAAGTGACGTCAGTCGGACACATATGTGTCAATGTTACACTGTCTCTTTGGTGTGAGAAACTGAACGTGTGAATAAGAACCAAAACGTATAATAGATATTGTGAAATAGGAAGTAATTGTTGAAAGAGAAAGGGGGTGGGAGGATGTAATAGAAAAGAAAAACATGAAATGACAGGATAAAACAGAAACAAAGCTTTGTAAATGAGGGGAGAAGAGGGGTTGAAGAGAGGGGAGGGGACTGGGAAGAAAAGCGGGAGTAAGATGTATTATGTGCAGGCACGAATTCAGATAAACATCACTGTGCACATCCAAATTGTGCCAGAGGTCATTTATTGCATTTTCAAAGGATTTTTTGATCTCTCACTTCACATTTTCGTACAACCGTGTTAGCAACAGTTATTTTTTTTTAAAATGATAATGTAAGATATACTATGTGTAGACTCAGTTTTAATTAATGAACTTGTTGTCCTTTATTTTTTACAGCCATAGAAATAACAAATATGAGACCCTCTGTAGAAACAGAGCTGGCAATGACTTATACGTTGAGCGGATGATGCAGACTTTCAATGGCGCACCGAAAAATAAAGATGTGCAGTGTGACAAAATTATACTGGAGGACCAGGGTGATTTGCTTCATTTTCCTTGCTAAAGCGTCATGTTTTAGTCCCTGTTTTAGTAGACGTTCTGTGAGTCTGTCAGTCAACAAATAAGTGTTGAAATACGTAGAGCAGAAATAGAAATAATTTGGCCAACTCACAATAGTAGTTGAGTTCTGTGATCTATAGCTTTGAGCGTTGACATCTAAGTTAGTAATAATGAACATACAGAGTTCAGCAATATAAATCTTGGTTCTTATGTTTACTGTGTCTTAGCCGTCTGTAGTCTTTTTTTTTTTTTTTTAGCAGAACAGGATTGAACGCAGGCCCTTGCGCTTGCCAGGCAAGCACTTATTCTACTGAGCCATCTCCCTGGTCCCAATCTCTGTAGTATTTGTTCATGAAAAATTTATAGAAACTGATGATGTTACGAAGAATGTGTATCACAAGTACCCTTTCCAATGAACCAAGCTCTATTCTAGGTAATTCACACAGATTAATTGATTTACTCTTAACAACAGCTCTGCAAGATACTCCCCCCGTATAGATGAGGAGACAGGCAGAGAGAAGGTGGCTGACTTGCTCCTGCCCAGAACCCGTGCTTTAAGCTCCTGAGCTTACGACCTCTCGATATGTATGAGACCATATGCTTCAGAATACTTAATAGGCAAAAATCTACCATCTATGATCAAAGAAGTAATAGGGAAGAAGTTATGTATACTGTTGTCTTTACTCCTTAACAAAACTATAAGCAAGTTAAAAAATTAAAACAGACACATTTCTAGTAAAATGTAATCATTATTTTCCATAAAAGAATATAAGGATATCCTGTCCCTGAGCATATTTATTCCCTAGTCCTAGTAGTGCCTTTTATGTGGAGAATAGGAGTGAAGATATTCTTCTCTACCTCGGTTTTTTTCTTCTATTCTTTCCTACCTAGCATCAGAGTTGTGGCTTATGCAGAGGATGAGGTTAGAGTAGAAAGCAGGCACGGTTATTCCCCTTCTTTCCCTTTTCAGGTAGCTGGCTGTAAAATTCTAACGGGGTTCTCCACCCAGAAATTCTGCCACGAAGAGGCTGTGATTTGCAAGTTTATACCTTGGCGGTTTAAGTCTGGGGTTCATGACTAAGGGGCTTACTGTTGCTCACCTACACTGTGAAAGTCAGTCTGCACTGTCTTGGTAATGTGCTGACGAGCCCTGGTGAGCTGTACTGTGCTCCTGTTAGCATCTTAATGGGTGAGAGCTTAGATGAGCGTAAAAAAATGGATACGTGGTGGGTACCTGGTAACAGTCTTTAGCCCTTTAATTCATATTAGGATTTTTTTTAAAAAAGAATATGAATACAATAATTAGTACAGGTTTTAAATATTTTTAGTGAATCATTATGTGTGATTTTATGTGAATAACATTAAAAATAATGAGAAGAGTAATTTTTGTGGGACTCAAAATTACCGAAAGTGCTCAAGAAATGAAAGAACTATACATGAAAGGAAATTTTCACCAAAGAATTGCCGTGGTATGACCCACATGAAGGCCAGATCACTGTAGAGCTTTTTTATCCTATAAAAGATTTTTTTTTCTTTTGCTCCGAATGCCTTCAGGGCAGGTTTGCCTGGCTTGAGTTGTGGGGATGAACCACAGCAACGTGAGCCTGACTGCTTTGTTGAAGCAGCCACTTAAAGAACTGAGCTAAGGGGCAGGCCCCCCTTTATCCTATAAAAGTGGCAGTAATTTCTCATACCTATATAATACCATTTCTAATACGTGTTCAGAGAGAGATCGGTGGCTGTAGATGTGCTCATGAACCTCTGACAGCACTTTAGTCAATGGTAGCCTGCGCACCCAGTTGTGGTCTCTGCAAGAAGACTGCTTAGTGACATTGTAGCTAGTTTGTGCAACAGCAGAATCACCTAAAAGTGCACCTCTTGTTAAGTGACACATGACAACCGAAAAGAAATGTCTCCTATGCTGTTGGCTGACATGATCATCCATACAGTTCAACACTCATTCTTGATAAAATTGACTGTAAAGGAATAGTGTGATCTTTATTGATATTTGAAATAAAAAGGAAAAGTTTTGCTTAAGTCTGAACTACTAAAGATACCCTAATTAAATGTTGGAGTGAGACAATGGTATCAGCTCTGGTAATTATTCAACATTGTTTCTGCCATTCCAACCACTGCAGGAAGACATGGATGGTCAAATTATCATTATTTGTGGTCAGTTAGCTTTCTGCCATTGTGACAAAATACTGAGCATAATCAATGGATATGGAGGAAATATTTAGTTTGGTTCATGGTTGGAGAGGCTTGAGTCCATGGTTGATTGTCTCTGTTGATTTTGGGTGGATGGTGGCAACAGGTATTATGCCAGGACCATGTGACACAGGACCTCGATGCACTCATGGCAGCTGGGAAGCAGAGATAGAGAGGCTCCTGATATCTATTCCAGGGCACCCTCACGAGGACCTCGTTTCCCCCACTAGGCTCCAGCTCCTGAAGTTCCATCACTTCCCAGTGGTGCCACAGCCAGGGGCCCAAATCTTTAATACATGTGCCTTTGGAGAATGTTCCAGGCTGTAGCAGATACTGAAGAACATTACCTTAGTTACTTTTCTCATTGCTGAGACAAAATACCCAACATCTACAAGTTCAGGGAGGAAATATTTATTTAGCTCAGTTTGTAGAGATCTTAGTCCATAATCTGCTGGCTCCAAGGCAGGGTGACATGGCAGAGGGGAACAGTTCATGGTGGGCAGAAGACAGCAAAAGCAATAAGCCACCTTAACATGTGTCTTTCTGCCCCTTCTATACTCTGTCTAGGCTACTGGGGACAGATGGAGCAGTCACATGCCCTTCCTTCGTCCAGTAGTAGAGCTGGGATGGCACTAGCCAAAAGCCTAGAGTGGGTAGTTCCAGCAGTATGTCTTCCCACAGAAATATCCAAAAAGCCAAAACAAATGCTATCAGAATGAACTTTGTCAGAAGTGTGGTAAGTAGTCAAAGATCTGTAACAGCTGAGGAAGAGCTGAAGCAAGGAAAAGAGGCAGAACGGCTTGTCTTTTCCCTGTCCTATTCCTAAGGTGGTGGTGGTTGTAAAGAGCATGAGCCATCCTCCCCACAGGAGTGAGACCTTGATGGTTCTAGAAGGGGCAGAACACACTGCGCTCATGGAGTGGAACCAAGCTCAGAACTCTCTCAGGCAGTAGAAAGCTGCACACTAGGTGCTGCTCAGAACCTTCCCGGGAAAACGAACAAAAATCTCCATTGAAAGCATGAGATACCAGAGATCCTTCATTTCATGGTACAAATATCATGGTTGCAGCAATCCAGCAGCTGCATTTATTAGGTTCAGATTCTGTTTTGATGTTTGAGGAAAAGAACTCATTGTTAAAATCCTACCCTTTAACTGAGATGGAATACACTGCTCTATGACCACGGGTAAAAACGTTGCTACAAGACTGATATAAGCAGTGAACGGGATTGCAAACTTTAAAAATTATTTGAAGACAAACTACATTGCCAATTTTTATTGGATCAATCTAACTTAAACAATAATTTAAAAAGTGGGACAGTACTTATACTATCACGCAGGTTTCTTGGGAATGGCCCTTCATTTTCCCAAAATGTACAGGTTTTCACACAAATAGGTATGTAGGGAATTTTGCTGTCTAAAAATGGAATTACGTGATCATACATGAATAGATCTGTAGATACTGGGTCATTGTATGTTGACCAGAGATGCAAACGTAAGTTATATTGTTGTCAAGGTGATTAGCAGGGCTGGTGAGATGGCTCAGTGGTCTAAAGCACCTACTTAGAACAAGCTTAGCAAAGCACAGGGACTGCGGTTCAATCCCCCAGCACCACATGCCAGCCAGCCCCGCCCCCTGGTGGGCTGAGCTGGCCACACACACAAATAAATAAATTAAAAAAAAAAAAAAAAAAAAAAAAAGGTGACTAGCAGCCCCACAATGGCAGATAAGTGGCATGATGTGGCCCTGGCTTGAGGACGAGCGGCAACTGCAAGGGTCAGAGAACAGCAGTAACAGGCTGAGGCGCTCGTGCGTGCAGTGGTGTGCCTGCGAAGGCTCTTTGCATGCGTGTTCAAAACTCGTTTCTTGGCCTTTTTTACCCACTTCCTGCCTTTGTTACGAAAATAACTGCATTTTAAACAAACAAAGCTAGCCTCAGATTTTGCTGTGGTTAGTCTTGTGGAAACCTAAACTATTAGGACTTGATTTACGATGATGTTCCCCTTTGTGTGCGTGCAGGTGTCATGGCCACGGCCTGGGATCTCTATGACTCCTACAATGCGCTGGAGCTCGCCTTAGCAGCAAAGCCGTCTGCAGTAGACTCGAGCAGCAAAGCGAATGCCCTTTCCAAAGATCGGGACCACACACTGCCAGGGAGCGCCACAGACAAAAGTAAGCTTGCAGGGTTTTTGGAATGATGTTTCCACGTGACTTTTTAGAATGTATTTAGTACAGGGTCCAGGGTCTGCGGGGTCTCACTACACAGATCAGACTTGTAGCGAGCCACCCGTTTTCAGCCTCCCAAGCCTGGGATTACAGGCACTCGCCACCCTGCCCAGTCTCAGTCGCTGTCTCCGCGTGCCACGGGGGCGGGGCCGACACCACACGCTGGGATCGAACCCCGGCCCCTTTGTCTGCCCAAGCAGGTGCTTTAATCCGCTGAGCTGTCAGGTTAACCTTGTTCACGTGACATTTTAAGTTCTTTTTTGGCAGTGGCAAAATTTTCTTTCTCATAGAATGTGAAAAGCCCAACTTTTATCCAGAAATAGTACTGTTTTTCTTTTACTGACTCTCAAACTCTCAACCAAAGTTCGATTTCTGCTTGGACATTTGTGAAGCGTTTTCAAAGATTCTTCCTCTGTCGCTTCCTCACTTGCTGTTCCGCACGTGAATGTTGTCCTTCTTTCTGTAGGTTCGGTAACATAATAATAGAAGTATGTCTATGCTATATGATTACAGTTTTCCAGCCTTTGCTTGACACACCTCCTGTGGGAGGGGCACCCTGTCTAGTAGAGCAGTAAAGCGAATTCCAGCTTCCTTTGACAATGTCGGGTCTGGGAGAGGGGCTTGCTCATTACCAATCCACGTGTGGCTGCGCTGGCCCTCGTGGTGTTCAGTAGAGAGGAGTGGCCAGGTGTCCAGCAGCCTTCTGCACCGCCGGACCCAGCGGAGGGCAGGATGCCTCTCTGTGGCAGGTGTGTGCAAGGACGGCCGGTGACACGCCCGGCAGACCTTGGAGGCATGGGTGCGGCTGAAGTTGGGGTCTGTTCATTTCTGTGGGGTTTGATTGGCGTGGAGTGTGCATGCCCCTTTGCCGCAGGTGGGTTGTTTCCTGGTTCCGGGCGCAGATAGCGGGCTGCGCTGGGCATTTGCTTTGTCCAGGCCTGCGTGTTGGCGGAGTGATGCCTCTTCAGCTCTGGAATCTGTGGGATAAGCAAGAAGCTCAGGGAACTTAGCCTCGCGTCACGTTGGCCTCCAGGGACCCTAACTGCTTTTGCTTTTCCTTTTACTACAGGACTTCCTCTATTTGTTTTCTAGATAATTTCCAAAAGTTTTAGTTGAATTTCTGGGAGGGAGTCGGGAAACTATCGCTGCACTTTGAGAGTGAGAGTGTGCTAGGTGGTGTGGGTGGGCGGGGTGGCTGGCGCCGCCGGGCACTGACAGGAGCTGCAGAGGGGGCACAGCCTGGATGCTCGAGTGGCCCAGCTCCACACACGGCCCACGGGGTGGAGGGCTCTTCTCGCTGTCTCTGGGAGACAGACACAATGACAGCTCAAGCGTCAGCGTCGCTGTTCTTCTTGTTACTTTTTTGGGTTTTTGGCTTTCTTCAGTAGTGTCTGCTGTGCACAGTGATCACACTCTGCAGCGGGTGCCTCTGGAGAGAGTGCCCCGCGGCTTCTCATTCCCCAGCTGCCAACCTGCTTTTGTCTCCCCGGCGTGAATTTCATTTATTTACCTCGTAAGAGTGTGGAGAGTTAATTATCACAGACCGAGATTGAACACCAGACTACTGGACCAAAGAACACATGAATGTGCAAGACAGTGGTACTAAGTCCGAGTATACTTCCAGATCATTGTCTGCACTACATTACAATACCTTTTATTTTTCTCTCTTTCCTTATTACCTGTCTTTTGTTTCGTACTTTATATACTTTTTTTCATGTAAGAGAAACTGTGCAATAGTAAGCTTGCGTGTCGGAGTTACTTCACTTTACACGATGATCTGAAGGTGCATCAGTTTTCCTACAAATGACTCAAGTTTATCCTTTTTTTAGGGTAGAGTTGTACTCCATTATGTGTAAATATAACGCTTAAAAATTCATTGATCTGCTAATAGACATATAAATGGTTTCTAAGATTTAGCTATTATGAATTGTGCTGTTGTAAACATGAGTCTGTAAATGTCACTGTGGTGTGATGTCTTTTAACCCTTTTGGGAAGATCCCTAGAAGGGGAATAGCTAGGGAGAGAGGTATTTTTACTTTTAGTTTTTTGGAGGAATCTCCACACTGATTTCACAGTGGTTGTACCAGTCTACGCTCACACCGAGAATAGAGAAGGGCTCCTTTCTCCTCACAGCCTTGTCAGTGTCTGTTCCTGGTTGATTCTAGATGGTAGCCATCCCTTCTGATGTGAGGTGGGACCTCAGTGCTATTGTAGCTTGCAATTGTCAAATGGGTGGTGAGGCTGGAGCGTGTTTTGTGTGTTTATTGGCCATTTGCATTTCTTCATCTGAAAAGTGTCTGTTCATGTCAGATACCCATTTTTAAAATGGGTCTTTGGATTTGGAGGTCTAATTTTCTTTTAGTTCTTTATATATTCTAGATATCAGTCCTTTGAGGAGTAGCTGCAAACCTTTTTCACCTTTCTTAGGTTTTCTCTTCACTCTGTTGGTGGTTTCTTTTGCTGCGCATCTGCCTTTGAAAATAGAAGGAAGAGTGTGGGGCCCTTCCAGGAAGCCGGAGAAGCCGAGGCAGCAGACGGTGCTCTAGGGCCTCTGCCATGCAGCCAGACCGCGAGAACACCACGGGTTTGGCTCTGTGACTGTGTCAGATGCCAGGCGGCGGATCGTAAGATCACAAGTTCTTACTGTCTCTGGCCATGGCGATTTGTTAACAGCAGCAACAGAAAGAGCATGTGGTGGTGCGGACTCCTAGGGGCGTCTGTCAGACTTCAGGGAAAGCATGGCAGCCATCTGGGCTCTGCATGACTTGGATAGTGTGAGGCCTTGCCTGCGTCCCTCACGGTTCTTCTGGTGGAAACTTAATACTGAATTTCCCATGCGGGTGAGATTGGTGGGGTCCATGGTGGGGTGGTCATTAGACTTAGGTGAGGTTGGGAGGGTTGGGGCCAGCCTGTGTGCTCCCTGGCCCTGGCCACGCAATGTCCCTGCCACCTGAGGACACAGCACAAGGCCCTCACTAGCTGTACCCCTGATCCTGGCCTTCCCAGACTTCAAAGTTGTAAGAAACTTCTTTTCTTCATAAATTACCCATTCTGTGATGTTCTGACACAGCAATAGAAAATGGACAAAGACAGGTACATTTCATGTCACACGTGCTCATCTTTTGGAAAACAGTATGTTTTTGACAGTCAAGAATTCCAGAAATATTTGCCCTGCACTTGCTCTGTATGTACCCAGGTTGAATCCCAATGATGAAAACAAGACCACGAACCTTGTAATATTGCTGGATATTTTATCTTTGCATCATGTTTGTATTTAACAGCTAGTGAGACAAGCTCTCTGATGGATTTAGAAAGTGTAATTCTGACCAAAGTCCACGAAGACGAAGAAGACCATGCTGACACAATAATGAAATCTGACAAGTTTCTTCAGGACTTATTCTTCATGGAACGGGTGCTGATGGAAAACATATTCCAGCCGAAGCTTGCAGCTTATCGTCAGCTTCCTGTATTAAAAGGTATTTTAAAACTATCGCCTCAGATAACCTCATTCAAAAAGTTTAAATGGTATTATTACATATTTCCCAATGTAATTCTCCATCTTGGGTCTCACGTGTTAGAGGCTGTGCTTCCATGTTAACAGACATCCACACATGTCCACACACATCCACATGCATCCACATAGTCCACATATGTCCACATTCATCCACATAGTCCACATATGTCCACATGCATCCGCACTCATCCACACATGGCCACATACATCTTGGCCAACTTTCCAATCCTGCTTTTCCTAAGCCCTTGACCACCCAGCCAAATCATTGCTTCACCAAATGCATCAGCTTGTAATCATGCTTCTGCTTATTCTCTTTCCCAGAAGCATATAGCTGGTTGTACTGCTTGGTGTTCTCTCCACTGGGAGAATTTCCCATCACTGGCTGCCCGTTGGAGGTGTCCCAGAAAGGGGCTCAGGTGCTGTGGCTGCCCACTGCAGACGGGACCATCTGTTAGCCAGCCTGGTCTTCTCCATAGGACCATGCGGAATGTGGCGATGAGACATGGATTCGCTCAGGGAGGCTGAGGGGCTGGAGGTGGTGGACAGATGATCAGACAGATGGGAGCTAGGCAGAGAAAAACCCCAAGTGAATCTGCCACTGAGTCTGTCCCTGCCCTGTGCTGTGCATATTAGGGTAGAACAACGCAGAACCAAGCGAAGAGCAATTACCAGGATGTTGTCCGAGATGTGACCCTCAGAGGCCACACTGGGTTGGGAGACATTTGAGTTCTGACTAGACAGGGAGACCTTGCTGCATGCTTGAGACAGTCAGGACACTCCTGGGACACTTGGGCCTGTTTTGTAGGGCTGAACCGGCCCGAGTAAAGGCCAGTAGAGACACCCCATAGCCCGTTAGGAAAAGCCAGAAAGTATTGCTCTATCCGAGACCAGAGCAACTGCTTCTAAAACATGTGCTACACTTCATAAAGGAAGAAAACAGACTCTGTTCACTGAATACTAATGTACACCATGGACAGCATCTGGAGAACTCCCCAGCAGTGGGAAAAGCAAGGCACGTGGTGCAGAACCACAAGAAAGTCGGTCCCTAGAAGCAGGTGGCAAGGCCACTGTGAAGGAACACGCAGGCAGGGGCTTCCGAAAATCTGTAATTCCCAGAACATTCAACACCACATCAAAGAAGAACAAAGTTAGAGAACTGAGATTAACTTTGGAGTTAATCTGACTTGGACACTTCCGTAAGGCTACTGTAGTCTGCGTGGTGTGGTATCAGTGTGAGAAGAGACAAACTGATGAGGAAAACAGAAGAGAAAGCCTAGACACAGATGTATGTTAATGTAGCCATCTGCTTTGTGACCAAAGAGGGAGGAAAACACAATGGAGAAAACATAGTCCTTCAATAACTGGTGCCAGAGCAGCTGGACATCCACATGCAGAAAGGAGGCTAGATGCAGACCTTACGGCTTCACAAACGCTAACTGAAATGGACCGTGGACCTAAAAAGGTAACTGCCAGCACTCCCAGAAGATACGAGAAAAGAACCCTTTAATGACCTCAGGTATTGGAGTGACTTTTAAAATAAGCACTAAAGGTACAATCCTTTCATTGGGGTATTAATAAGCCAGACTTCATTAAAATGGAAAGCTTTTCCTCTTCAAAAGACCCTGCCAAGAGAATGAGAAGACAAGTCACCAGAGAAGAGACATCTAGAAGACATAGCTGAATACAGAAATCTCTTGGGACACAACAATAAGAAAACAAAGGTTGCGATTTAAAATTAAGTGAAAGACCTGAAGTGACATCTCAGGAAAGAAGAGCGTATGAAATGTGTCATTAGGGATTTGCAAGTTCAGTAACAAGGCATACAACACACCTGTTGGAATGGCCAGGTCCAGGATGCCAGTGCCCCCGAGTGCTAGTGAAGGTGTGGAGCGAGGAGAGGGTGTGGACCGAGGAGAGGGTGTGGAATGAGGAGAGGGTATGGAACGAGACTCGCCTTCACTGCTGGCGGGAATGCCGGGCTCTGTATCCCCTCTGGGAGATGCATGGGTCTTACCAAACCAAGCAGGCTCCTCTGTGCTGCCCAGTAGTGGCTTGGTGTTTATCCAGATGATCAGAAAGCACAGTGGTTCGTATTGTTTAGTCAACAAGTTTGATTCCAAGTATGTGACATTTAGGAAAGGGCAAAACTACAGAGCAAGTGAGAGGTCAGCAGCTGCCAGGGGTCAGGCCCAGAAGGATGAATAGACAAAGCACACGAGGCTTTGAGGGCAGTGGGACTACTCTGCATGCTACTCTCCTGGGGATCCCTGTCATGACACAGTGCTCAAAACCCAGAGAATGTACAACACTGAGAGTAAATCTTCGTGTAAACTGAACTTCCAGCCATAATGGTAGCAAACCAAAAGTAATAGTACGCCCCTGGCAAAAAGCCACCAGAAGCCAGTGGTTTTCAGCTGTCCAGATTAGCAGCCCGTTGGGATTTGCCTGTTCTCCATCCCCATGTCCTGATTTTCAGTCTGCAGGGACCTCTCACTTCAATAAGAGGTCACCCTGGCTCACAGCACTGATGATATTGTATTGATTTGGCCAGGTGAACAGGTGGTAGACCAGTTGGGGAGGCACTTGCCCATTGGAAGGTGGACAAATCTACCCAAATATCAGGTGACTTTCACCCTGGTGAAATTTCTAGGGGGCCCATGTGCTCATCCCTTTTCCAACCAGAAAGAAGGCCTGGTGTCTAGTGAGTGACACAGTCCTGTGGATGTGACACTGTGGCTCATTTCCTGAGTGATCCAGAAGCTGCTCGCTTTAAGAAGGACCCAGAATAGCAGCAGATACTGTAGTGGGGTCAAGATGTCTTCCCAGGCGCCCCGTCCCTGACCCATGAGGTCGAGGGTGTCCTAAGTGTCAGTAGTGGGTAGAGATGCTATTTGGAGCCCTTTTAGTGCAGACAAACATGGTGTTTCTATTTGATTTAATTCTAGAACCTGAGCCTGGAGAGCCTGAAGATGTTTTAGAAGGGGAAAAAGTTGAAGAAGTGGAAGAAGTTAAGAAGGAGGAGGAAGAAGAAATAGAAATAAGTACAGAACAATCCACAATCCCAGCCAACTTGGAGCGGCTGTGGTCCTTCTCCTGTGACTTAACCAAAGGTCTTAATGTGAGCAGCCTTGCCTGGAATAAGACAAACCCAGTAAGTTATCAGACGTCTTAATAACATTTTTACTTATTTATTAGCAACTATCAAGTTTTTTGTTTGTTTTTCCTCTCAGATATAGGGTGAAGGTTTATCCTGACCACAACCCCAAGATTTAGGATGTCTCTAGAACAAGTTCACAGTTCACAAAGGGAACATGCAAATAGCTACAAAATGGGGTTTTCTCCTTATATGTAAAATCATTACCCTTTTTGTCTTAGAAGATGTACTTGGGATGTGGCACTTCCTGAATTCATGTCAGGCGCTGCACTGAGAGGTGTGCCGATGCATTACATGATTGCTGTATTTAATGTGTATCAAAGCTTGTGTGTTCCACTTTGGTCTCTCCACAGAGTCATCTCATTTGGAAGTATGCGTGTAATCCAGTGACCCTTGTAAATGTGCAAAATAATTTTGAGATTCCTTAACATATATTATTGCCAATAGCAGCAAATACTTAAATAGCGTTTAGCAAGTCCTGAGCACTATTCTAAGAGTTTTGCCTGTATTGATGTCAATACAAGAACTTCATGAGTTATGTGCACTATTATTGTCCCCATTTTTTCAAGACAGGATCTCATTATGTACCTCAGCTGGCCCTTGAACTCACTTATGCAGCTCAGGCTGGTCTCAACTCACAGAGATCTTCTTGCCTCAGCCTCCCAAGTGCTGGGATTATAGGTGTATACTACCACCCCCAGCCCTATTTGGTAGTAAAAAAAATTAAGTATCCAAAGGATAATAATTTGTCCAGCATCACAGAGCTAGCTAGTGAACAGCCAGAACAAGCAGATCTCTGGCACCAGGGATCTTGCCCTGTAGTCCTGAGTTGCTGCAAGTCGTCTTAATATGAGGCGGATCTCAGGTGGGGCGACGAAGTGCTGTCCTATAAAAAGGAGAGTATTCCAGGCTAAAAGCATGGATTTCCTCCAGAGATTGATAGACTGGCTCCGAAGGCATTTCCCAATCTTAATTCCAACCGTCTTTTGGGAAAGGGCAATATCCTTGAAATAAATGTGCAGGCTATTTTTAACATGGTCAAAACTATTTTGTTTCTTAAAAACATTGTATTGTGTATATTTAAGAATGAGCCCTAGGATTTCATGGACACATTTTGCCATCTACTATGTGCACACATGACAGTTGTGCTGGGTAGTAAAAAACAAAGTTTGTAATTATTTTTATTGAAACCTAAACACACATTATTTTAATTGTTTTTTTAAATAAAAGTAATTTTACTACAGATTTGTCTTTTTGAGACCATAGATAAGTGGGACTTACTATGTTAATAGCAATCTATAATAAAGATATATGAAATAATTTTAGAAACAATGTACAGTACTAGCACTTTTTCATTAATATATATTGATACTGGGATTAAATTTTTAAAATTTGCATGAAGCTAATTGAAAGCACAGTGTAGGTGGCATATGCAATTCATTGTCCGAATATTTATTGGGCATTCTTGCTGCTGGCACTGTTGAGGTGCTGGAGATACCGCTGTAATTAAATCACAGGCTGCGGCAATGCAGTAATTTCTGATGTGCTTTGGCAAGGAACTAAGCGGAGCTGGAACAGCACCTGTAAGAGTCCGCTGAGTGCTTATTGGTGAGAGAGCGGTGCCGTTGAGTGCGGAAGAGGCAACAGTGTTATCAGTGTAGGGTTAAGGGTGGAGAGGCGGGGCCTGTGTAAAGAGGCGGACTGTGCACAGAGGCTGTTGGTGTGAAAGGCCTGCTGTGAGCAGAAAATACGTTTGAGATAAATGTATTTTGGTTACAAAAAAGTAGCCTGCGTTTGGCCAGTCATTGATCTCTTGTCTCTGTGTACTCACATAATGCATTATGTGGTTGTTTTTGGGTTGGATTTTTTTTTTTTTTTTTTTTTTTTTTTTGAGACAGGGTCTCACCCTGTGTAGCTCAGGCTGGTCTTGAACTTGGTAGCCCAGACAGGTTTCAAACTTGTGGTGATCCTCCTTCCTCAGCCGTCTGAGTGATGGGACTACAGGTGTGCAGCACCACTCCTGGCTCATACATACATTTCTTGACATAATCTGCTGTGTTAGTCAGCTCAGGGTGTTATAAAAAACACCTTAGGTTATGTAGGTTAAACAACCAGCTTAATTTGCAACAGATTTGGAGGTGGGGAAGCTCAGGATCAAGGTATGGGTGGATTTGCTTCCTAGTGAGAGCCTTCTTTCAGCCCCCTTCTCACTCCCCGTGTCCTCGTAAAGACAAGAGAGAGCTCTGTTCTCTCTCTTCTTTTTAAGATCCACCAATCTGATCTGATTAGGAGCCTGATTTATGATCTCCATTAGCCTTGATGGCCTCCAAAACCCCATCTACAGATCCAGTAAATTGGAGGCCAGGGCTTCCACCATGTGCCAATTTTGAAGGGTCTTTTTAGCCTACAACACCTGCTCCTAATTCCAGTGTCTTTCATTTTATATTTGAAATAATTAGGTCATCCTCAAAAACCTGTAAGGTGTTAAAATATAAAATACATTCTTGGTAGATAACTTCAATGTGTAAAAAGAACTTGTTAGTAATGAGTTCTTTCTAAGTACCTAATCTTCTGAAAATGAGAAGTAATTATGTTAATTACTTTTATTTGCTTAGCAAAGTGGAGGTGCAAGCTGAAAATTGATGGTGTCTTAATTACTTTTTCTCACTGCTGAGACAAAAATGTCTGACACCCCAAGTTAAAGAGGGAAAGGCTTAAGGGCTGGCAAAATAGCTCAGCGGATTAAGCACCTGCTTAGGCAAGCACAGGGATGAGGGTTCGATACCCTGTACTGCATGGGGCACTGGCCCTGCCACTGAGCACGCTAAGCCAGCAACTGAGTCTGGGTGTGGTGGCACATGCGTGTAATCCCAGCACTGGGGAGGCTGAAAACAGGAGAATCACTATGAGTCTAATCTGTGTAATGAGACCCTATAGACCATGTACTAAATACATTAAAAAAGTAGTGAAAGGTTTATTTAGCTCACAGTTCATAGAGGTTGCAATCCATAGTGAGCTGGCTCTGAGGAGGGGTGCCATGGGAGATAGGCATTGTGGAAGAGAAACACTTTATAGTAGTCACAAGCCAGCAAAGCAAGCAAGCAACAGCAGCCCCTACCTCTGCTCCTTTATAGTCTATCTCGATGATCTGACTTAGCGTGGTGCCCATCCAATCAGTGGACTAATTTAGTAATCATGCACCACTAATCCCAGCATCACCCACTCTAGATCCAGCCACCTCTGGAAAGACCCACTGTGGCCACGTGGGGCTTTAGGGGGGCATCTAAGTATAAGCCAGAACAGATGGTATGCCAATATTTAAAAATTCTTAGTAGATAAGTTTTATCAGGATTTAAAAGTATAGTTTGTTAATATTATCATACATATCCCAATATTTTTATGGTATCTTCTTCTATTTTAAATTTGTGTTTTGGTTTTTAGGACCTTCTGGCTGTTGGGTATGGACATTTTGGATTTAAGGAGCAAAGAAGAGGGCTGGCCTGCTGCTGGTCAATAAAGAATCCCATGGTAAGCTGGGTGGGAGAAGGGGCCGCTCATATTTAAGTGAATAGCGACAAAGCACATAAAATATTTATTTTTCTGTATTTTAGGGAACGGTCTACAGGGTGTTCACAGTCTCAATACTAGATCAAACTTGTAGTGATTCTCCTGTTTACAGCCTCCTGAGACCTGGGATTACAGGCACACACCACTGCACATGGCAGGCCCGGGGATCGAATCCCCAGCTCCTGTGCCTACTTGCAGGCGCTTTAATCTGCTGAGCTATTTGACCGGCCCTTAAAATATTTAGTTATATGTGATAACTAATAAGTTCCAGGAGATTTTATAAGTTAAAACTTCTTCATTTAGTTTGGTTTAAATCAGTAGTCATTAACATTTGTTCTTGTTGACATAGGAGGAAAGTACTTGATTTATGAATTCACTCGTATATATTTATAGCGTGCACACTTAAGTGCGTTAGGACTGAAGGCGCAGGACCTCGCCACAGTGGAGCCACAGCTAAGTATAAAGAAGAAAGAAGAAGAGCTTTTTTTTTTTTTTTTCCGGAACCGGGGATTGAACTCAGGCCCTTGTGCTTGCTGAACAAGCGCTTATTCCACTGAGCCATCTCCCCAGCCCCAAGAAGAAGAGCTTTAAATCACATTTCTTTATATATATTTTTTAATATGGGGCATGATCAGAATTTATGGTGAATGTCTAAATTTTAAAAAAGTGCCGCAGTAAAAGACACATTGTCATTATTCTCCGCCCAAATCTCCCACTTTTCCTAGCACACCCACCCTGTGGTCCATGCCCCGCTCTGAAGCAGCTCTGAGGTCTTCTTTCTCGTGTGTCTTTGGTTGTGCTGTCCTGGTGGCCTCGGTGTCCTGAACTGACTCAAAATGTTTTCCTTTCATGTATATTTTGACCTTGGGGAAGCCCCGGCAGCCACATGGCGGCAGACCTGGTGAGCAAGGCAAAGACCCGCCGTGACATTGCTATGAACGTGTGCCTCTCGGATGGTGGGTGACAGCAGCATCCGTGTGTCCTTGCTCACGCCTGAGGATGCTCAGGAGAGAGGACTCCGGAACTGCTTCAGAAAGCGACGTGAATGACGGAGAAGGGAGTTGAGGGGACGCATGGCGGGGTGTCTTTTACTGCAATACACTTTTTTTGGTATTTAGTACAGGATGTACAGGGTCTTGCTGCACAGATCCAACTCATAGTGATCCTCCTGTTTTTAGCCTCCCAAACGCTGGGATTACAGGTGCGCGCCACCACACCCAGTCTCAGTTGCCATCTCAGCATGCACTGGGAGCGGGGCCACATGGCATGCTGGGGATCGAACCCGGTCCCTGCATCTGCCTAAGCAGGGGCTTTAATCCGCTAAGCTATCTGGCCAGCCCTCACACTTTTAAAAGTTAAATTCACTGTGTACTTCAAGCACACCTCATATGTGAGTCGCTCCTTATCGCCTGATACTCAGTAGATACGGTCGGCTAGTCTGACCTTCTCACTGTCATGAATTCTGCCAGCAGACTGAGTTCCTACCCCACGCTCCGCCATGACACAGCCCTGCTCGGTCGCTCGCTTTAAAGCTTCCCATTTAGTCTTAAGTCGACACTGAAATGTGACGTGGGAAGTGTAGAGAAGGGCCAGGAAATTGTATAAAAGTGACGTGAGTTTTATAAATAGCTTGTCTGTCAGGAAGCTGGGTTGATACAGCATAAAGCCCCCCAGAAATGAGTCATTTTAAATGTGGAAGAATAACGTAAGATTCATCCCTGCTAGCCTGTCTTCCTTTCCACCAAGGTGATTAGAAAAAGAAAAGGATTCAGAAGAGGCTTGGTGGAGGTGGACAACAGAGTAGCTTGGCGGGTTTTTCCCATTCTTGCTGAGAAGTCCTTAGATGAGTTTACGCAATACCGGTGACAGGAGTGTCGGCTGCAGGCCGTGTGCTGTAGCTCGCGTGTCCCGTGGGCAGCGAGCTGCGTGTTGTTGTGCTAACCCTGCAGAGCAGGGCACGCTATGACACTGCAGCTTCTTAAGCACATGCGTGAAGCCACTGGGCCGATGGCTCAGGATTCCTAGTTTTATCAGAATAAAGGAATGACTAACTGCGGTTTTCTTTTCATTTCTACTGGAAGTTACTAGGAAGACAGGAGTAACTGAAAACAGGCCCCATCTGCTCACATCCCCAGTGCCAACCAGCCCGGTCTCGGCTGCTGCCTTACAGTGGGCTGTAAAAACCAGTTTACAGTGTCATGGGATTATGTTTTTATTCAGTGGCCAGAACGTGTTTATCCGAGTCCATACGGAGTCACTGCTGTGGATTTCTCGATCGGGACGCCTAACTTGCTAGCAGTCGGCTACTACAACGGCACAATTGCGATTTATAACGTGCAGAGCAGTAGCAATGTTCCCGTTCTGGACAGCAGGTAGAGCCCGAGATCGCTACACGCGGGATACGTGCCTTCTGGGAGAGTCATTCTAGTTGCATTCAGTTTCAAGTGAGCATTTGTGTGCTTACTGAGAGGGTGACTATTACTTGTAAAACATTTTATTCTGCTTCGTATTGTTTCTCCAGCTGGAATGCTTGTCATAATGATCGCCTTAGATTTTTTGTTTTGTTTTTAAAATTTTTTTGACTTGAACCCAAATTGAGCTACAGCCCCCAGCTCTCTTGCTCTTTCTTCCCTCTCTGTCTGCCTGCCTGCCTGTCTGTCTGCCTGTCTTTGTCTGTCTGTCTGTCTGTCTGTCTGTCTGTCTGTCTGTCTGCCTATCTGCTTTCTGGGAGACAGGTTCTCACTCACTGTGTTGTGCAGGCTGGGCTCAGTCTCGTAGTCTTCCCACCACAGCCTCTTGGAGTGCCGGAGTCGCAGCAGTGCGCCCCAAGCCTGCCTTCCTTTCTCTTCTCTGCTTGCCTTGCCCATCAGCTTCCTTTGGTTCGGCCGTGTAAGGTGATGTTTAAACTCGCTTCAGTGCTGCCTCCTGAGGGCCTTCCTTTCCTTGGCCCATCTCCCCACATGCCTTCTCCACAGCCCGTGTCACACTGAACGTTAATTATTTGCAGATAGACAGATCTGCCTGAGTTTATGCGTAAGCTCCCTGAGAACCAGGGGTGATCATAGCTTTGTTTTCTCAGTGTGTCCCACAGTGTTGGACATGCAGTAGCTGTGAATGTTTAATTAATAGTGAGTGAGCGAATGGGTTATATTGAGAAAAACAGGAAATTGAAGATGAAAAATAATCTATTGATTACTTTTTGCATTAGGCCAGATGGCACTGAGACCAAGGGCTGGCATATTTATAGCAGTGTTTGAATAACTTAGAACTTGAGATAGCCCCTGACTTATTTGCATAGCGTCGTGAGAGCTGACCTTAGCGTTTGTTTCAGGTATGAGGATCTGTGAAGTTTTACTCACTATGCAAAAATCTATGAATTTTTTTACAAGTTCAGAGCTACTGCATTGTAAAGTTTCTATAAAAAACCTAAAGAATTAGTATCAAGGATGAAGTACCCCATTCATTTGATAGGAAAAGTCAATACTCTGAGAAATGATTCTACTTTTTCAGAAAAAATTTAATCAGTCAGACAGAATATCAACATAATAGGCAATCGTGAAAGACAGAAAGCATTGTTTACTTTTTAAATTTTTTATGTATTTGGTACAGGGTCTCATTCCACAGCTCGGACTTATAGTGATCCTCCTGTTTTCAGCCTTCCCAGCACTGGGATTACAGCTGTGCACCACCGTGCCAGGTCTTGATGGCAGACTCAGTGTGCCCAGTGGTGGGGCCAGTGGCATGTGGTGCTGGGGCTCGAAACCCAGGCCCTGCGCTTGCCTAAGCTGGTGGTTAGTCTGCTGAGTTATCTAACCAGCTGTAGAACTGTTTACTAAGACTTTAACGACTAATTGATTTAAGCTATTAAAAAAAAATAAAAGTGAAGTTACCTTTTATTCAGTGTGTCTAAAAGTAAATAAAAGAACAATACACAAAACAATTTACAGAACTAAAGAAGGATGTACTAAAGGAGTACTAAAAGCAGATCCTGAGAAGAAAATACTTGTTTCTGTATTCTTGTTAGGGTAGCTCATCTCAAACTGACATACCTATAATCCAATCACATTTTCCTTTTGTAGGCGTGTGGGGCTGGGGGGAGGAAACCATGGCGAACATCATGGCAGAGTAGTCATCTATCGTATTTTTCAAAATCCTTAAAAGCTCAGTTTGAACAATAAAAGCGTCACTGTATGAATCTACCCTGATTCTCTAGGGGGCCGTGTTTATCACGCGTGCTTTAAGCCGCCTAACATCATCACGCTAATCTCCCACTGGCATTCCTCCCTGCTTTAGTGAATCACCTCAGAAACACGTGGGACCTGTGTGGCAGCTGCAGTGGATCGAGCAAGATCGGGGATCCACGGGTGACGATAAAAGGGAATTCCTAGTTTCCATCTCAGCAGACGGAAGGATCTCCAAGTGGGTTATACGGAAAGGCCTGGACTCCCACGGTAAAAGAAAAGAGGGAGACAGAGCTTTCTCTTGTAGCATGCTTAATTAAAAGTTGCCAGTGAGCCCTGTGTGACATATTTATATAAAGAGGATTGGGCTTGAAGAATATTGTTCTTTTAAACATTTAACTTTGTAAAAGGATACCAAAAATGGTAGAAACAATAGAAATGATATAGAGTTTCACTAAGCAAAATCACAGAAATTCAACAATGGTTGTTTTACTGCATATTGTTGTCTTCAAATTAGTTTTTCAGATTACCAGATATAAACATGCAAAATTGGTCAAAAATACAAATCATTAAAAAGGGGAGCAAAGGTAACAGTAAGTGCTCCTTTCCATAGGCCAGCAGAAATCAGCTACCCGCGCCATCCTGTGTGTGTGCATATGGATCTCTCCCTCCTTTTTGCTTTTCCCCTTTCCCTCAGCCCAGTTGCTCCCCCCCTTTGAACAGTTGCTTCCCTTCACAGTATCTGCTGTGCCTTTGAGGTTGCATGTACTCTTCCAGGTTCTTACACTAGGAAGACAATGTGATGCGTACACATGTAGATTTCTTTCACTCAGAGTATGGTCTCTAATTGCATCCATTAACCTATAAAAGCCTTGTGTTTGTCTTTTTTTTTTTTTCTTTTTCTTTTTTTTTCTTTTTGGCAGAACTGGGGATTGAACTCAAGCCCTTGTGCTTGCCAGGGAAGCGCTTATTCCACTGAGCCACCTCCCCGGCCCTGTTTGTCCTTTTTTATAGCTGAGTAATACTCCATTATATAAAATACCACACCTTTTTTATCCATTCCTCACTTAATGGTTTGTGTTTGAGATTTAGCTGTTACAAATTGCACTGCTAAAACCATGGGTGTGCATGCAGTGCTGTGGTATGATGCTTTCAGTTATTCTGAAAAGACTAATTTTAACTTAATTCTACACAAAGATGGAAGCGATTGTAGCATTATTAGCAGAAGAGGTGGTCCTAGAAGATAGCTCAGTGGCATAAGCACCTGCCTGGCAAGCATAAGGTCCCAAGTTCTATCCCCAGTGCCAGAAAAAAAAAAAAAAAAAGAGGCATGCATGGTACTTGCACTATTTTTTATGTGATAAATAACAAGGTACATTTTTTTTCAAATGAAGATTTGATGCGATTAAAACGAACTACCATCAGCAGCAACAAAAAAGGCGACAAGGAGAAAAAAGGGGAGGCTTTAATATCCCGGCAGGCTCCTGGGATGTGCTTTGCTTTCCATCCCAAGGTGAGTGGTTTCGACCCGTTACTCACTGTGCTCTCTAGCAGCGCCCAAAGTCAAAGTGTGTGCAGGGAGACACAAAGCAGGACCAGGTGCTGCCAAGGCAGTCAACACTGTGCACTGCCCTATGTGAAAAAACAGACTTGGGTGTGGCTGCAGGCCCACGGAGGAGCGCGGATTCCAGTGGGCCATGCCTTGTGCTCTGCCCGCTGTTCCCTGGGAAAGGTGGTGCCTGTGCCTGGAGGGCTACGGAGAGACTCTCTTTACACAGCTCCCTTAACTTTGGCCCTCCGTGCCCTCCTGGCGGCTGTTCTATTCTGCCCTCATGAGCCAAGCCTGCTCTGTGGGGCTCTCCACTGCAGTGTGGGCCACAGCTGTCAGGACCAAAGGATCAGGAAGACCGCTGAGTTCTCATGTAACAGGATCCAAATCGAATCAGAGCACAGTTTGTGAAGCTTGACTTCTGATTGTACCTAGAGATATGTTAGAATCAGGAAATTCAGACACTGTGATGGATAGCTAAGAAATTAGATCCATTTTTGTGTTCCATCTAATATAATAATCTTTTTATGTATTTATCACAGGGTCTACAGGGTCTCACTACACACATCTGTCTGTGATCCGCCTGTTTTCAGCCTCCCAAGAGCTGGGATTGCAAGTGCGTGCTATTACGCCCAGTCTCAGTCACCATCTCAGTGCACCCCAGGGACAGGACCAGCCCGGCACACCAGGGATTGAACCCCGGCTGCTGTGCTCTGCCTAAGCAGGCACTTTAGTCTGCTGAGCTATTTAGCTGACCCTTAATATAATCATCTTTTATGCAACACTATGGCTAACCCCTTTATGTAAACATAAACTTGAGCTGTTTCTGTATTCTGCCCTGTTATCCCAACCATCTTTAAACTGCGTCATCCTTTCTGGCCCATACATACCACTCCAACATAGTTGAGGCCTCGATTATTTTTCACTTGTACTATTATAACCATCTTCTAACTACCTTCATTCTCAAATCCTCCCTCACTTTGAAAGTAGATGACAATGAAGGTTCTCATCAAGGGCACTGCGAAGGGGACTTGTCCTCCAAGAGACTTCTAAGCACATCTGGTGATCTTTTTGTTTGTTACAGCTGCAGTAGGTCAGGGTGAAGTCAGAGACTCACTACTGGAATGCAGGGGGTGGAGACCAGCCAGGATGCTAAACATCCCGGCCGCGTGGTGCTCACCCCCTGCCCCAAAAGTTATCTAACCCAAAAGGTCAATAGTAATTGGTTAAGAAACACTAGTCTGTTGTCTTCCAGTTGTCCTTGGTAGAAGGAATTTGAGCTGATCGGTTGGTCTGTAAATAAAGACTATTTTCTTTTCTAATCTGATTGCTTTCTAAATTGTTTGCTTGCTTGATTACATTGGTCAGAACCTCCAGTGCAGCGATGCATTGGGGCAAGGAAAGCAGATATTCTTTCCATTACCTTCCCTTTGTTTTGAACATTTTCATCCGGGAGAGATGCTGGGTTTTGCCAATGCCTTCTCTGTATCTATTAAGTTGACCATATATTTTTTTTCTTTGTGCACTTGCTAATCCATTAGATTACATTGATGGCTATTTTTGAATGCTTATTGAAATAAGCCCCCCTTGATCAGGACTCATGACCTATTAATGTGCCATCTCAGTTTCCATGAGATGAAAGTTGAGGTTACTGATTTGCAACATTTCTTCTCTACTATGTGCATTTGTGCCACAACTTTCCCAGTTCTGCTTTGGCAGCATCCTGCAATTCTGAGATGTTTTAATCTCCTTTTGGGGGTGGGGTACTGTGAATTGAACCCACGGCCTGGTGCTTGCCAGGCAGACTCTGTGCCTCTGAGCTGTGCCTCCAGCCCTCCATTTTTATTCTGTGTAAAATGCTTTCTAATTTCGCCTATAATTTCTGCTTGAAGATGTGTAATAAAGTGCCTCAGTTTTTGGTAATTTTCTAAACATTGTTCTGCTACTGATTTCTAACTCACCCCCCATGACCAGAGACTTTACCTTTTATGACTGGAATATTTTTGAACCCAGTGAGATCTGCTGTGAAGCTCAGAATGTGCTATCTGTAGGTGACGTGCCCTTGACAGAGCTGTGTGACATCTTGCCGTCAGTTAGAGCACTCCATAAACGTCTGTCAGGTGAAGGCGGTGGATACTACTTCACTTTTGCTGCTTTTCTTCCTACTTCTTCAATCAGTTTTTTTTTCTTCTGTATTTTAGGGAAGGGTCTACAGGGTATTCAGGGTCTCACTACTAGATTGGACGTATAGTGATCCTCCTGTTTACAGCCTCCCAAGAGCTGGGATTACAGGTGCGCGCCACCACACCCAGTCTCAATCGCTGTCTCAGCACACGCCGGGGGTGGGCTGGCACGGCAGGCCTGGGGCTCGAAACCCTAGCCCCTGCACCTGCTTGCAGGCATTTTAATCCCTGAGCTATTTGGCCGGCCCTCCATCAGTTACTGAAAGGAAAGCTGTAGTTATGGATTTGTCTATTGTTTTCTGTTAATTTTCTTCCTATATATTAAAGCTTTGTTACTAGGCACATGCAGACATGTTTAGGATTGTCACACACTCTTGATTAATCAGCTCCCTTGTCATTATGAAGTAACCCTACTTAATACTGTTAATACTGTTTATTCAGAAGGCTACTCTGATATTAATATTCTACCTTTCTGATATTCTACATTTATTTTTTCCCACATTTCTTTAAGCTAGTGTTATTATGGTTCATATTTTTCCATCTTTTTATTTTAAACCTATTTGCATTTTTATACATATTTTAAAATACATTTTTTGTGAGAAACAAATAGCTTAGCTCTCCTCTTTTTATACAGTCTTAAAATCTCTGCCTTTTATTGTAATGATAAAGTCATTTATATTAGTTTGATTATGGATGGTGGTTGGGTTTGAGGTGATCATCTTGGGTTGAAGGGATAAGGCCCAAAATATCTGTCCTTCCTGCCGTGAAGCAGCACTGTGAGGAGCCGTCTCCTGCCCAGACTCTTCATAGGGTACATGGAGCCATGTGTTGCCAAGTTCAAGTTCAACCTCCACCTGTTTCCTGCATAAACCTCTTCAGTGAAATCTCGGGGCATGTTTACCAGGCACCCTAAATTTTGTCAACATCCTTGAAGATTCTTAGTGAAATATAACTACTTATAGAAGGTGTTGACATAGTCAGTATTGAAATTTACAAAGTGGAATGAGATTCCCTACCCCATCATACATTAAACACACACACACACACACACACACACACACACACACACACACACCATTAGAAGAAATGTAGGAAAAATCTCTACAACTTTAAGGTAGGGAAAGATTTCTTAAAACACAAAACTTTTAATCTATAAAAGAAAATAAGCCTTTCAGTTTTCAAAGACAGCTGCTTTCCTTACTTTTCTTATTGCTGAGACAAAATACCCAGCACCCAAAGTTAAAGGAAGAAAGGTTTATTTCAGCCCGCAACTTGTAGAGGTTTCAGTCCACAGTCGGCAGGCTCCGAGGCAGGGTGGCAGGCAGCAAGCAGCACAACCACTCAGAAGCCACTGCCTGTCCCTCGCCTCCCCTCCAGGCAGCCGGCTCTTTGGCTGTGCCGCGCGCACCCAGGGTGGACCTCCCGCTATCCCATCCAGAGTCGTGCAGAACCAAATATTTCAGAACCAAAGGAAAGAGACAACCGACAACTGTATTCAAGATCGTATTCTTGTTTTGGCTCCTGAATTGATTTTAATAGATCCTGAATGGTCTGATTTTTCTCTAGGTTGCTTACAAATACATCACAAGCCAATGCATCTTGGTTTCTTGTGTTATAGGACACAAATATCTATTTGGTTGGCACTGAAGAAGGTCATATTCACAAATGTTCTTGTTCGTATAATGAACAATACTTAGAAACCTATAGAAGACATAAGGTCAGTATTATATTATGGTAGGTATGAAAAGGTTATCTTAGAATATTTCTGAAAAGACAGTGTCGTATCTAATTTCTTCTTTCAAGTTATGGAAGTCACTTTTTACAAAAGACCTTGCTTATGGTACCATGCTGACCCCAAAGTGAAATCCTGTCTTGCAAACCCCTGGTCTTTGTATCTTTTTATGCTCCTCCCATCCATTTTTTAAATTTTCTCTGTCATTTATTTTTTTATTTTTTTTGTTGTTTTTTTTCATTTCTTTGTTTTTATTAATACTCTCTATTATGTTTTTAAGAACATGTAGTATGTGCTGATATTTAGCGATGATGATAGCAACTGTATTTTGTGTTTCTATATGCAATAATTAAGATCTTATGATCTTAATGCAATAATTAAGATCTTATGATCTTACTCTCCACTAAAACAATACCCATGCAATAATGGTAGCATATAAATCTAGAAATCTTCTTTTTAATTTGCTGGTCAAGTCTAAAATATATGGTCTTAAACGTGACTGATGTATCTTATTCTTCCTACGTCTAGGGCCCGGTGTATAAAGTGACATGGAACCCGTTTTGTCCTGACACATTCTTAAGCTGCTCAGCAGACTGGGGCATCATGGTGTGGCAACAGGAGCACCTCCAGCCCTTCCTGAGCTTTTATCCAACCACTCACGTTGTGTATGACGTCGCCTGGTCTCCAAAATCCTCCTATATATTTGCAGCTGCCAATGAGAGCAGAGTGGAGATTTGGGATCTCCAGATGAGCACGTGAGTGTCACCTGTTCTGCTTTCTAGGGGACATTTCCAGTGGAAGCACTTCAACCTCAGTGATGTGTAGCAGCTTTAACATCCATTAGAGTGTACTGTAGTTGCTTTAAGACTAATATCTGGCTCACTCCAAGTCTTCGTTTGTTTCATGAGACAGGGTCTCACTGGGTAGTGTTAGGCTGGCCTTGATCTCACTGTGTAGCCTAGGATGGCCTCAAACTCACAGCAATCCTCCTCTCTCCACCTCCCAAGTGCTTGGATCACAGACACGCAACCCCCCTCCCTGGCTACATGAGTCTTTTATGAATAAAGCTACATGCTAGGATGCTGTACTGACGTTAATTTCTTACACTGTATGTAGCCTTGGAAACATCTGAATAAAGAATTTACATTAACTATGTCCTCAAACAATGGCTGTCATAAGCACCTTGAATCTGTATTCATTAACATTCATTTGGATCATTGCCAGGTGTGTAGGTAGGTGAGTATACAGGAGGTGTGATTACATTTCTAACTCTACAAGAAGATTCTCTCCAATTAGAGGAAAAAAACAAACAAAATGATTACTTTTGCAGTATTTACTTTTCTCTTACCTCATTTTAAAGCATATTCAAGAGTATGTACTTAAGATTTTTTATTGAGGATATTACATAAAAGTGATCAGATCCATCTATTTTTAATATGAAAAGTTATACAATATTGAAATAAAATGTTTAATGATTCTATTTCTACTGGGAAATATCATAAGTCTTTATGCTAGCTATTAGTAAAAGAAATAAGAAAATTCATTTTTGTTTAAAATAAGTGACAAATATCAATGGTTCTGTTACCAGTGGCAAATTTTTTTTACTTGTAGTCAATAATTCAGTAATTTAAAATTTTTACCATAGTTTGTCCTTTAAAACAATATCAACCAAAGAAAGGTCAAGGCTTAGCTCCTCTTGTGTTGTGGGCACTTGTGTCCACAGTGGCTGCTTAAATAATCCAACCTCTGATGTTATTTTTTCTGGTAAAACTTGAGTTCCCCAGACAGCACTTCTTTACAAGTATAAAAAAGCTTTGTCTACTTTTGGTCTTTTTTGAGGCTATAGGTAGATTGTTTTGGATGACTAGGGGGGAAAGCTTGTTAAAAATGCCCTTTTAGGTTTCAGAGGTTCTTTTCCAGGAAGACACTTTGCGGCTGCAGGATGTGCACCCCCCATCAAGGGCACATGGCGACTTGTGTTAATCTGAGTCTTCCAGGGAAACAGAGCCAGCCAGGGGAACCTGACTCCTCCATCCCGGACTGCACCTCTGTCTCCCCTGCACCCGCTCTCTGTGTTAGAGGAATTTGCTTCCTCCTGCGAGTGCTCGCACCACGCAGCAGACTGCCAGTGTTTTCTTTTGGGACCTTCAAGTAGTTGGGTGAGGCCCTCGCTCACTGTAGAGCTAGTCACTTGCATTTAAATCCTGCTCGTGGCGACGCTCCCGTCTTCAGTCACATGCAGATGCGTTTGACCAAATGACTGTGCCCCACTGCCCAGCCAGGCTTGCAAAGAAATGGTCGTGAAGAAGTTCAAGTGGATGCATTCCCACCGGAATCGCAAGCTTCTAATTGATCTGATTGGAATTGGCTCACTGAAAAAATGAAACTTTTTCTTTAGGGAGTGAGAAACAGTAATTTTGAGTTTGGAAATAGAGGCTTTTGGTTTTGTAAACCCCACACTTTTCTTAGTCTGTGCATTTAAGTAAGACCATGTGAGCAGGGCCATGAGCCTTCAATCCCAGCTACACAGGAGAACAAGGCAGGAGGGTGGTAAGTTCCAGCCAGGGCTGCTCAGTGATTTAGTGAGGCTGTGTCCCTAGATGCTGCTGCTGCTTGCTGCTGACAGTGACAACTGCGGTAATAGTAAAGCTGGGCTATAGCTCACCCCTCACTGGGCTCCATCCGTAGTACTAAGAGAAAAGAGCAGAGCGTTGTGACATTTGAACTGACAGATAAAATGCTTCGTTGCAGCTTAGACCCTCTGATTGTAAACATCGCTAACCCGGGAATCAAGTTCACGACTGTCCTCTTTGCCAAGCACACAGATTGCCTTCTGGTGGGAGACAGCGATGGGCAGGTGGCGGTGTATGAGCTGAGAAACATGCCCAGCGCTTCGGACTCTGGCCGGGTAAGACCCGAGAGAAAGCCAGTGGTATTTCCCCGGGGATTACGGGAGGCTGAGGCAGGAGGACTGTGAGTCTGAGGCCAGCCTGAACCCCCCCCACGTCTCTCTGTCTGTCGGTCAGTTGGTCGGTCTTTCTCCCTGTCTCTCTCCCTCTGTCTGTCTCTCTTCCCTCCTCACCCTCTCCCTCTTTCTCTGTCCCTGTCCTCTCACGCACATGCCTCTGTCTTGTGAGTCCACTCAGATGTACACTCATGGCACGCGGTAGGCGTGTGTTTCTTCTTTTTCTGGTGGGACCAGGCGTTGAACTCAGGTCCTTGCGCTTGCCAGGGAAGCGCATATTCCACTGAGCCGTCTCCTCGGCCCCCAGGCGTGCGTTTCTTAAGGGTCATGAGTGTGGTGATGTGGAAGAAACAGAGGCATGGCACCTACAAGGCTTATTTTCTGTCCGTCCTCTTTTCTTTATCTGTGAAAGAAAGATGATGAAAATGAAAACACTCCTGAGCATAAGAACTGTGAACGCTGTGTGGAGAACTTAACGCTGTGCCGAGGCCCCGGGCATGGTGACACACCTGCAGTGCCTGCTCCTCAGGAGCTTGCGGCTGGCCACGGCAGGTTCAAGGCCAGCCTGGGAAGCGTCACTGGGCCCTCTCTCCAAAGAGAAACGTGCCTGCTAGCACTCGGGGCTTACTAATTGTCAACACAGCTAGAGATCGTCTTACAGGAAATAACTCTGTCTCGTAGGTGCTTTCCAGGGTTCTCACTCCAGGTACTCGTTTTCTGCTGGTTCAACATTATCTGACTGGCTTACTCTGAACTTCACCTCTGAAAGTTGCCTGCCAACCTGGACAGGCAGCTCAGTGCTCTTAGATGCTCTTTATTGTTATATAGCTTCTCGGTTTTTCTCCTCTTTTTAATGTTTAAATCGTGACTGCATATAGTCACCTGATAACTGTTACCACAATTACAAAAACACATTTAAAATGTTAAGGATATACAAAAACAGGTAAGAAAAAACACCAAGGCTCTAGCAGAAGAGTAATGGTCAGAGAAAGGCGCTCACAGAGCATGAGCAGTAAAAAAAATTTAAAATTCAACCTCATTAATTAAACAGTATCAAATTAAAAAGATGACAACATCTTCATATGTCCAGCTGACCAGCTTCATTTGAAAAAAAAAAACCCGTGTGGGCCTCCTGAGTCCTCGGAGCATTTCCGAAGCCAGATCCTCGCCTGCTGACGGCTGGCCTAGAAATTCTGTAACTTCTTTGGAAATAACCAGCCAGTGTGAATGCTCAGGAAGCGCTGCCTCCCAGGGCCTTGCAGTGCCGTGCCTGCGACTCCGCCCTGCGCAAGTGGTCCTAAGTGCAAGCAGGGCATTGGTGACAGCGTTGTTGGTGGCAAGACAGAGAGAGCACAGCAGGGGGACCCAAGCTGACTCCCTCGGTAATTCGGGGGCCTGCTGCACACTGTCCGGTGCTGGACTCCAAACGGATCCCTGTGAAGAACGAGTTACTGGAAGAAAATGTAGGCGCACATCGTACCGATCTGTGGCCATGTTTTCTGACAACGTGGTTTTTTTTTTTTTTTTTTAACAAAGAGATAAAAACAATCCATTTTATTCATTTATTTATTTATTTGAGGAACTGGGGATTGAACTCAGATCCTTGCGCTTGCTAGGGAAGCACTTATTCTACTGAGCCATTTCCCAGGCCCCACAATCCATTATTTTTATCTATCTCTTTATTTGATCAATGGGTATAATAAAGGTCCCAGTATCAAAAGCTGATAGATTGAAGTAGTCCCTAGAATGGTGGATTAAAGTTATTCTTGGCACATAGTATACTCTCAGTCTAAACTTCTGGTATTACTGGTGTCGTGCTGAAGACAGAAAACGCAGACCATTTGTCATTGTGTAAGTCCTCGCTGAGTGCATACCGTGGGACAGGGCGGATGATCTTCCGCACCGAGGACACGAGCTGCACACTTGCTAGGAGTGATCTGTCCTCCTTTGTTCAGGTGAGAGCCTGATGGAGAAAGAGATGCGTCTGAGACACACACCAAGGTCAGAACTGGTGACCTTGGCTGCTCCAAGGATGGGGCAAGGCCCAAGACGCGAGGCCACAGGCCACACGGCAGGAGTGACTTGTGTGATAGCCTGAGAGAGGTCAAGGACTCTTTAGAGTTTGTAAAACATTTTTATATAATTACTTAGCTCATAACAGCCTTTAGGAATAAAGTAAGTTTTCCAAGATCACATTTATTATGAAATTCAGAAAATTCTCATCTGCTGCTGCCAGTACCCATCTTTTCTGTGTAAACTCTGCTGCCTTCCCTTAAAAACTGACTATACACCTTTGCTTCTCATTCTGTTGTATAAAAATCTTGTCTTTTTTAGTACAAAGATAAGTGTTATTAAGTGAAAATACAAATCTCACATGGAAATCAAGAAGTTGTACTCTCTTTAAATCAAGTATTAGAGGGGCTGGGAAGATAGCTCAGTGGTCTGAGCGCCTGCCTGGCAAGGACCCAGGTTCAATCCCCAGTACCCCATGCTGTGCTGGCCCCAGAGCCCCAGGTATGCTGATCTGGCCACTGAAATGGGCATAGTGGTGCATGCCTGTAATCCCAGGGCTAGGGATGCTGAGACAGGAGGATCACGACAAGTCAGACCTGTGTAATGAGACCCTGTACCAAGTAAATAAATAAATGATTAAAAATAAATAAATCAAGCATTAGCATATAGAGAAATAGCTTAAGATATTGCTAAGTTTGACAGATATAGCTGAGAGAGCTCAGAATTAAACATGAAGCCTAACCAGGAGCTGCCAAAATTGTCTTCACATTGAATTCTCATGAAATTATTTGTCAAACTTCATTAAAAGAATTTTTCATAGGAAAGAGCAGGTTTATACGAGGAAGCAACGGCTACTGTTCAAACCTTCCTTGTTTGCTCCCTTTTTATGCGCTTCCCGGTTGCGCCTGTGTGTGCAAGGCTAACTTATAAATGTTAAAGGGCACTTAAAAGCCTGCTTTACCCTCTAGGTTGTGTTTTATTGCATTGTAATTGTGTGACTTTTGTTTTCTTTTCAGGGAGATACAATAAATGCTTTGCTTGGGTGCAAGTCCAACCAACCAGGATAATTCAACATTCTAATATCTTTTTGCTGTTGTTTAAAGAAAAAGAAACGGTGTTTACTAGTCAGTACATTGTATTCTCTGTTGTAGCCTGGGGGATTTTGATTTCAGAAAATAATATTTGATGCCTAAATTGCACTTAAATTCGGTGAACTTTTAGTGAGGAAATATGGAATTAGGTTGCAATGTAAGCTAAGAGTTATTCTAAGAAAGGGTTGTTTGAATTTTCTACTTTTTAGTCACATCTGAAGCACAAATGTGTATATATGTGAACTTATAAACATCCAAGCAGGTTAGAAAAACTGTTTCTTTAGAGGCAGAACTTGGGAATTTTTAGAATTATTTAAAGTGAAACTTTGAAGCTGGTGCAGTAGCATACACAGGCCTATAATCTCAGCGCTTGGGGGGCGGGGCAGAGGCGGGTGGATAGCGAGTTCAGGACCAGCCTGGGCTGCAGAGAACCTGTCCCAAGAGTGAATTCCCTCGACTTTCAACCAGCTTTCCAGAGTTTCTTGTTGGATAGTTAGTACAATGAGAATAGTAGATCCTTATATCCCGCTTTCATCCTAAATGTTAACCGCATATTTAACCTAAATCCTCTCCATCTGAGAAGTGAAGCTCTAGGACCTTCTTAGTCTACTTGACAAGAAAAGGACATAAAGGCCGTTATCAGAATGGTATATTTTGGTAGGAATTTTACCCCCAATTTGGTCAGCAGGTTAGCTTGGGATATATCAGGGGCCCTCCTCTGGGTGCTCAGCGTCTGCACTGGGCTTCAAGCCCGTAAAAAAGGACTCAGCAAGAAGACAGAAAGTCTCCGATCAAAACATTATTTAATGGGGGGCCTGCCCCTTAGCTCAGCTCTTTAAGTGGCTGCTTTAGCAAAGCAGTCAGGCTCAGGGTGCTGTGGTTCGATCCCCACATCTCAAGCCAGCCAAACCTGCCCTGAAGGCATTCGGAGAAAAAAAATCCTTATTCCATTTAAAAAACGAAAACAAAAACCAAACGTTATTTAATGAAGAATTGTAGGTACAGGTTTGGGGAGCAGGAGGAGGGAAGCAAGGTCTCCATGTCTGGACTAACAAGCTGGCAGCCTGTCCCAGAAAACGGGGGGGGGGGGGTGAGACAAGGCTGGCGAGGAGGACAGGAGAGGGGAAGACAGGCAGGGAGGGGCAGGGACGGGTATCACATGCGCGCGCACACACACACACACACACTCGCGCACTAAGAATGGAATCAGTGCAACAACGAGAGCTATCTTTTTCAAACTTCTATTGCTTCACAATTCTCTCTCTCTCTCTCTCTCTCTCTCTCTCTCTCTCTCTCTCTCTCTCCACTGTTTAAACAAAAGCAAGGCAAGTTTTGAGGGGATTGGGAACCTAAGGCAGGTAATAAGGCTTATAAATTGTCTACTGAGTGTTGTAAGTCCTTGTGGTTGAACTTTCTGTAACACTTTTGTAAGAAAATAAAACCTTGATTTAATTGAAAAAAATGTTCCTTTATTCTATATTTTTGGCACTGCACAGTAATTGCACAGAACAGTGGGCTTCACAGTGACCTTCGCACACGCGTGCATGATGTACTTTGGTAGCCTCCTGTCCCCCTTCCCAGGAATCTGTCTTCTACTTTCCTGTCACTCTGTTTCCCTGCTTTCCAGACTCCATGCTGGGCAGAAAACATGGCACTTGTCTTTCTGAGTCTGGCTTGTTTCATTTACCACGGTGCTTTCTAGTTCTTGCGAATTGCAGGATATCCTCTGTGGCCGGACAGTGCTCCAGGGTTGTACTTACTGCATTTTCTGTGTCTGTTTACCCGTCGGTGGGCACCTAGGACGATGCCATAATGTGGCTTTGGGTAGAGGGCCCGGGTTAGCCTGGGCATGCGGGCCACTTGAGTATATGCCAATTTTAATTTCTTCAAGTGCATAGCAAGGAGTAGCCCTGCTAGATCTTATGATAGTGCTATTTTCAGTTTTTTGAGAAGCTTTTGTACTGATTTCCACAGTGGTAATAACTTATATTTCCACCAATAGGAATATTCTATTCTTTTGGTCTTCATAGTTATTCTTAAGACACAAGCTCTGTAATAAGTCTGAAACCTGCTGTCCTATGTTTTTAAATCAGATTTTGCCCTGTATTCTGTAGTATGTCTTTTTTTTTTTTTTTTTTTTTTTTTTTTTTTTTGTGGTACCGGGGATTGAACTCATGACCTTGTGCTTGCCAGGCAGGTGCTTATTCTACTGCTTATTTTCCCTGGCCAGTATGTCTTAAAATCAGGTATTGAAATGTCACAAGTATTGGTCTTTTGGGTCAGGATAGCATTTGTTAACTGAGTCTTTTGTGGTCCCATATAAATTTTGTTTTATTTTATTTTATTTTTTATGGCACCTCAGATCAATCTCAGGACCTTGGGCTTGCTTGCCAGGCAGGCCCTTATGCCGCTCAGCTATATCCCCAGCCCTCCATAGGAATTTTAAGAGTGTGTTTTCTAGTTCTTTGAAGGATCTCATTGGTATTTGGGATAAGAATCTATAGACTGCTTTTAGTTGTATGTCTGTTTTAACAATTTAATTCAATTCTCCCAGTATATAAATATGAGAGGTCTTTCCATTTGCTAGTGTTTTTACAACTTTTTCTTCATTTCTTTGTGATTTTCATCATAGAGACCTTTGCCCACCTTAGTTAGGTTTCTTGTTTTGTTTCAGGTTGCTTTGTTTGAGGCAATTGAGAAAGGAATCGCTTTTCTGAATCCTTGCTAGTCTGTAGGAAAGGTGCTGATATTCTGTGTCGATTTGGTATCCTGCTACTTTGCTCAACTTGTTTATCAGCTCTAAACGGCCTCCTTGAGGGCAGGTATAGAATCATGTTATGTGCACAGTGATAACCTGACTCCCTCCTTTCTTTTATATCTTTCATGTGCCTGCTTTCTCTGAGTAGCTCCAGTACCACACTGAATAGGAGTGGTGAGAGTGGACATTGTTGTCTTATTCCTGACTTTAGGGAAAGTTCTTCAGTTTTTTCATTTAGTATGATGTTGCCTCTGGCTTTGTGGCATGTTGGGGTCTGATCCTTCTCTGCCTACTTCATTCAGGGCTTGATCATGAAGCCTTTATTTTTAATTTTTTTTTTTCGGAACCGGGGATTGAACACAGGCCCTTGTGCTTGCCAGGGAAGCACTTATTCCACTGAGCCATCTCCCCGGCCCCATGAAGCCTTTATTAAAGACCTTTTCTGCTTTTGCTGTGATGGCCACATCATTCTTATCATCACTGTTGCACTGCACTTACTGATTTGCGTAGGTTGCACCAATGCTGCCTCCACAATTTGGAATTGTTTTATTGAGTATTTTTTTCATCTGCGTTCATCAATGATAATGTTCTATACTTTTCTTTTTTTTTTTTTTTTTTTTTGCAGAACTGGGGATTGAACTCAGGCTTTTGCGCTTGCCAGGGAAGCACTTATTCCACTGAGCCATCTCCCCGGCCCCTTGTTCTATAATTTTCTTTTCACTTTTTAAAAAATTTTATTTTAGGGAAGGGTCTACAGGGTGTTCGGGGTCTCACTACTAGATGGGACACGTAGTGATCTGCCTGTTTACAGTCTCCCAAGAGCTGGGATTATAGGCGGGCGGGCACCACCATGCCCAGTCTCGGTTGCCATCTCAGAATGCCCCCGGGGCAGGGCCAGCACAGCAAGCCTGGGGATCGAACCCTCAGCCCCTGTGTCTGCTTACAGGCACTTTAATCCGCTGAGCTATTTGGCCGGCCCTAACTTTTCACTTTTTTTGATCTGCTCATGTCAGGTCTCGATAGTAAGTAACCCTGGCTTCATAAAGTAAGTTTGGAGATGTTGCTTCACTATTTTATGCACTAGTTTTAGAAGCATTGGCCTTGGTCTTGCTCTGAAAGTCTGGTAAACTGTAGTAGTGAATCCATCTGGTTCTGCACCTTGTAGAGAACTTATTACTGCTTCCGCCTCATTCCTCATTACTGAGCTGCGTACCTCCTTGGCTCAGTCCGTGTAGCTCAGCAGTCGGGAAGCTGTTTCTCCTAGGATTTCCACCTTCTAGCCCAGCTTTTCACCCTGCCGAGCCCCTGGGTTTTAGTGGGCTCTGGTGTAATGCCCCTTCTTCTCCTCTAATTTTACTTATTTTCCTCCTCTTTTTCTTTAGTTTGCCTAAGGGTTGTCAATATTGTTTGCGAGAACTGAACTTTTGCTTCATTTACCCTTTGTAGTGTTCTTTTGGTTTCTATTTCATGAGTTTTTGTTTTAATTTTTTTTCTTCCACTGATTTGGAGCTAGGTTTTCCTTTCTTTTTCTAAGGCTTTGAGGTATGTCATTAGGTTATTTGAGATGTACCAGGTTTTCTAATATGGCCACTTAATAGCTATAAATTTCCCTCCTACCTGCTTTTGCTGTGTTCTATAGGTTTTGGGACAATGTTTCTACTTTCATTTGATTCTAGGAATTTTTAAATTATACCTCTGATATCTTGGTGACTTACTGTTCATTTAAAAGTGTATTATTCAATCTCCACATGTTTGTGTATTCTCTGGAATTTCTCTTGCAGTTAATTTTCTTCATTACATTATGGCCTAAGAAGCTACATGGAATTATTTCAGGTTTTTAAAATATATGTTCAGATTTCTTTTGTGGCCTAAAATATGATCGCTTTTGGGCATAGTTCCATGAATTGGTGAAAAGATTATGCATTTTTTATTAACTTACATTTAGATAATGTACATTTTTGATATGCATATTGATAACCTTTGTGGTATGGAATTTGTACCTGTAAGTGAAATATCTTGAGTTTTTTCCAATATCCACATCTCCTTTCAACTCTTCTTCCCCTCCTTATATACCAAATCTTCGTATCTATTTTTTGTCTATTCTTTCTTATTCTCCTTCTTTTCTTTTTCCTCCCATGCCTAGCTCCCCTTTACATTTGAACATTTTTTCCTAGGTCATAATATTTGTTATACATTTTGATCCTTATGGACACTTTCAGTTTCTCACAATCAGAGAAATTCTGTGATATTTGAGCATGTGGGTCTGATTTATTTAACTTATGAGTATGCTCTCAAAGTACATCTATTTAGCTAGAAATGTCTTAAGTTTATTTTTCTGTATGGCAGAATTGTACTTCATTGTATGAAAGAACCACATCTTCCCTATCCATTCATCAGTTGGTGGGCATTTGGGCTGTTTCCAAGATTTAGCTATGAGGAACTGTGCCGCTTTGGGTGTGGCTGTGTGTACATCACTGTGGGGTGGTACTTTCAATTCTTTTGGGAAGATGCTAAGAAGGGAATAGCTGGGTCGAATGTGACCTCAGGTTTTAATTTCTTAAGTAGTCT